TGCCGAATGCAAGCGATTACACGCCTGCTTTGGCCCAGGTTTTTGCAGTATCGTGTACCGATGCCCATAACATTTCATCCGCAGCAACGCGCCAGTTTCCATGAATTCCTCTGTATCTCAAATAAAAAAACGAGCAGAGCTTATAACTGAGACGTGATAAAGTCTTCTCACTTTCACCATTAAATAAGTTTTTAAGGAAGGGCAGAAATGTAATAGTAGTGAAAAAGAGACCTAGAACTGAATAATTTAGCTGATAGCACTGAAGTAACTTAATAACAGCGAAAAATTTGACTGGCGCATTCGATTTATTGTCTGCTTACGAGAGGAGAAGAGAACGCACTTCCTCATTCAGGATGATTGAGGGAATTTTTGCATAGCGGTAAAGCGAAATTTATCTAGTAAACGAAAAATGGCAATAAAATAATAACATGATTTGGATTTTGTACGAGAAATGCAGTTTTCAATTTGCCAAAGAATCCAATTCCAAAGTACAAGAGAGCGTTTCTTTTAGCTGAAATTATCTTTTCGTAAAATTCTCCATCACTCTTCACCAATTCAGGCAAATCTTCATCGGCTTGAATGGGTCGTTTGCAAGTACCTTCATCCCAACTAACTGTTGCTCCTCCTCCACAACCAGCTTCTTCCGTCAGAATAGCTGTCCGCTTTTTCATCGCTAATCTGTTAAATGTCTTCAAATACAGTTTTCTAAACTTTCTTCGGAGCTTTTATTTATAATCGCGAATCCTCACTATGCTAACAAGAAAAAATAATTCTTGTCCGTATTCTCTGTACCCTGCTTCCTCAGCTCAGCGATGCTGTTTCCAGGAAGCTTATTCTTTGCAAAATTTCACGACGCTCTTCAACATTCAGAACACCTCTCAAATCCCGTTGCGTTTTTAGGACGTCTTTTTACCAGAACAAGAGAAGCTTTTTTATAAAACTAGCAAGTGCTACTCCTCCAAAAAAAAGTTTCGGTTATATCACTTATGCTTGATTTTCTGAAAATTATTTTTCAAACTCTTCGCACGAACTTGCATATTTTTTAACGCTTTGTGCAAGAACAGCGTACAGCTATGTGCACACCTGTGACTTTTTAAAGAAAGCTTCAGTCTCTACTGACGAAATAGTTAAATTAGTTCTTGTTATATTCTTTTTTCCACTGAAATTCATGTACTCGTTTTTCAGTCATTGTGTTTTGGAACTAAAAAAATTTTCTCATACAAGTGCAACTGTAAGCAACCAACGCTTTAAAACATTTTGCATTCTTTGATTACATATGGTGAGGGGCTGGTTTTACGTGTTAAATGCAGTGTTTGTACGGCGGGTAAAACAGTGACAAGAGCCAAAAAGTGCCGAGACACCGTTGATGCTGCTGCTCCAGAAATGCCTACTTAGCACGTTCAGTGCTCAGTGTATGAATTTTCAGGATATGTGAAGTGATGCGATATTTTTGTTACCAAAATGATCTCAGCGCTGAACCAAAAAATTTGAGGAGCTATTATGCGCAGTGGGAGGATTTTTAACAGAACTCTCAAACTGATGCCAGCTATTACACAGAAAGTCATGATTGTCAGGAAACTGAGGCGCTGTTCTGACAAATAAGGCTTCGCCTAGTTTCGAAATGGATACTTATTGCAATGGCTTTCTCAGTCAGCAGCATGAAATATTCGCATCTACAAGTACCGAAGTGCAATTTTGCAGTCATGGCCGCTGCTCAACGGATTCGGACGCATCTTCTGCAAACTTTTGCTCAGTTTTTTTCGGATACTCTGCTAGAATGCCGCAGTTACGGGCAGATTCTGCCGGAGCAATGGAACGACTGTATAAGATCAGCTGGCTGCGCAACAGGAGCAGCTCACTGATGAAGTCGGGTTGCCGAAAATGCAATCTCATACAGTTCGCAAATTCAGATTCGGCGGCTGAATGCCTACACACACCAGCAAATTTGCCTCTAACAATAATTGCTCAAAACGAAATTTCCCTTGGATTACTGACGTCTGGGAAAGTGCGACTCTCATCCTGTTGCCTGGTACATCCTGGTCTTCAGCAAAGCAGCCGTTTGATCAAAACTCATGGTACTGCCTCCTACCTGCAATTATTCAAGTCACAGTGTTTGACACGAAATCAATATTGTTTTTTCGCTCTTCACCGCATCCGAGCTCCCTGTATTAAGTCTAGTTTCTATTCGATCGGAGTTACTGAACCTTCTGGTCATAGAAAATACTGCCTCAAAAATTACCGGAAGAAGACTATTTATCAGACAGCAACTTTATGGCTTACGTTAACATCTTCATTCCTGTTATCGTTATCATCATTCTCGTCATCATCATTATTACCGCAGTTCTCGTCTTCGCCACCTCCATCACTTTCAGCGCCACTACCATCATCCTCAACAAATACAGTATCGACATTAGCATCCACAACGACAGCAGCAGCGGCAACAACAGCAGGCTTGGAGGCAGAAAGGATATCAACAAAATATTTGTTGGTGCGCTTCCCGGCGAATTTCCTGTTGAACTGCGTGCGGAAATATCTGCAGCACGTCGATGCGTTTGAACTCGGGAGGTTATTGAAATGGTTACTAGTTCTGCTATTGCTGTTTGCTGAATCGTCCGGTGCTATTGTGCTTTCCGGAGCCCCAGATTCGTATGCCAGGTGCGTGAAATGCTCAGTTTCCGAATGGTTACCGTAGTTCTCGCTCATTAAGTTTAAAAGCATTTCTTGAATTCTAATTTCTAGTA